GAAGGGTAGTTAATGCAACTAAAGTACAACAACTCAATAAAAAAGCAGCCATTAAAATAATCATTTTAAAGTAAACTGGGCCAAAACCACAAAGGTTGGTCTGGAGAGAAGACTGGTGAAAATGAAGTCTTAGGTAATGTAGGTTACTTTCATTTTGGCACCAAACTAGCCAACAAGCAATGCAATAGGTGTATGCAAAATCCAGGACATGAAGATGTTGATGTGGATGTGGCCTACTTCTGCCTGTCCAGTTCCTCCTATGTTCCTGAAGTTCTGTGGTCATTGTGAAGTTAACAGGCTACTGGCTCAGAGGAGCCCGGAACTCTGCCTTGGGGAGGGTCCACATTAGCATCTGAGTGGTCTAAGAAAATGTTTCAACTCTATTAATTCATAAGAAAATACTTTGAAATTCTTTCTCTTACTCTATCATCACATCCAAAGCAAGTCTGGCCATGGTCTACTTCATAAAGTCTACCTGGAAATAAACAAAATGTCGCAAAGTTGGCAGTGGATAAGATATCAAACTACAAATACTGCCTAGATAATAAGTTACATGGATAAGAGTGACTAGAAATATAAAAACTTAGAAGAGGAGAAGGTAATTTAATGAATGATTGTTTTCACGGTTGAACTTACACAGGTTGTGTATCCCTTATTCAAAATACTTGAGACCAGAAGTGTTTCAGATTTCAGATTTTGGAGTATTTTCATTATGCTTACTGGTTGAGCACCCCTAATCTGAAATCCAAAATGCTCCAGTGAGCATTTCCTTTGAGCATCATGTCAGCACTCAAAAAGTTTGGAACTTTGGAGCATTTTGGATTTTAGATTTTTGGATCACGAATACTCAAACTGTAGTTGTGACAGTATTAATTTGAGCAGATGGGAGAAAGTTTAGTGACTCATAGACAGCTAATCTGGGGACTCTTTTTCCATACTGTTGTTCCCCTCTACAACTTTTCCCATAATACAGTCAGGCACTACAGTCATTAGCCCTTCTCCTGCTTCAACTGGCACTGAAAGGAATTACGCATCTTCTCCATTGTGCGGTTCCTTCATATTGACTAAAGGCCTCAAAATGCTGGTTTCCGTATTTCTACTACACAGTCACTACACTGCTTCCCCGCTTAGGAGCTGTGGGCCCGCCTCTGCTGACAGCTGAGGGGTCCCCCTCACCACCAAGCACAAGTGGCAGTGCTCCCCTGCAAAACCTGCCTGCCTGGCCATAACTATGTGTGGCATAAAGGCCTGCCCAGTGCCCTAGGAAGTAGCTTGGCAAGGGGAGGATGCTTTATACCGGGGAATGATGTGGTATACGGTTTATATTCTCTAGCTGAGAAGTCAGAATATGAAATATTCAAAGAGGATAGAGTGACACAGAAGTGGGATGACAGAGAAGCCTGTAGCAGAGGCCATACTGCAATAGAAGCCATGAGGTAAAGAAGGGTCATGGAGTTGACAGTGATGGAGAAAAGTATAGAAGAGAAACCAAACACAGACTGCTGTTCATATATATTAATTCATTTAAATCTGATGACAATTCAAAGCAATAGCATCATTATTCCCATTTTGCATATAAGTCTTTTTTTTAAATATAGTGACTTCCCCAAGATTACACAGTGAAAGCAGTGTTTCAAATCCAGTATTCTCTGTCTCTTTCTCCTTTAACATAATCATCCTACCAGTTCAGATATATATATGGAAACCTCTCTTGAGGTACCTTACTTTTTATGGAATTTGAATGGAAAAAGAGTTGAAATGAAAACTACTTGAAATCTCCCCTAAGTTAGCATTCTTTTTAATAACAGTCTGCTGAGCAGTATTCTAGATTTCCATGAGGTAGGGATGGGTGGAGTTGAGACAATTATCTTTTTTTTTTTTTTTTTAACTTTCCTATGCACCTTTATTGTAAAACTTTCATTAACTGAGGAAATCAAGCATGTCTCTTTTCTGCTCAACATGAAAAGTTATAAGAAAGTGATGACTAGGTTTTAAGATAGTACTAATCCTGATTTTGAATTAATAAAACCCCACAGGTTTTTCTACATTGTCCATACAACTCCATTCCTATGGGTTTTTTCTTTTTCAATTTTTTTTATAGACATGGCATAAAAAATCAAGATGGCTTTCCCCCGTATAGTTGCTGTGGGAGGTAATATATTAATACTTATTCCAACTATCCTGTATTGTACTGCTCATATCTTCTGGAATTATTTTTGGAATCATATTCAGAATCCGCTTCCTTGTCACTCAAGAAAAAACAAACTTAGTTTTTCATATTGTACTTATGGATCACTTTCCTTTCTTCCCGCTTCCTTTTATTTCTTGCCATAATGAGCCAATCATATGAGGGACTTTGGGTGAAAAGGAGAGACCGGACTAAACTGAGTAAAGGCATGGAAAGCCATGACTGAAATAATAGCAACAAACTCAGGATAAGTTCATTTGTGTTTTGACTCTAGAGTTATGAGAAATAAAATGAGTTTATTTAGATGAAAGTCATCAAAATTATAGAAATCTACAGCAGAGAAGTGATACAGAAGGGAACTGCTGGGAAGGAAAGAGTGTGGTCCCTTTAAATGATATGGAAGGGAAGTGCTAGGTAGAGGAGGGTATGGTTCCTGACTAGGGCTCCACCCTGGAGCCTGTGCCCATGGACCTAGGTGAGGACAGGCATTTTTGTTTTCCTGCACAAATGTTGCACCTCCCAAGACCACCCTGGCCTGCCACGCCCCATCCTGTGCCTATAAAAACTCCCGAGGCCCTAGCAGGCAGACACACATGGTCGCTGGGCGTCGAGAGAAGCACATCAATGGAGGAACACACAGGTGACTGGCAGTCGAGAGGAACGCACCGACAGGCACTGGCAGGCTACCCAGTGGCAGAATGACATGGAGTTTGGCAGGGGCAGTTGAAGGAGAGCCCAGGCTGCTGAGTAAATAAAACCTGCTCAATAAAACTTTGCATTCATTCTCCAAGCCCACGTGTGATCTGATTCTTCTGGTACACCAAGGCAAGATCCCCAGGATACAGAAAGCCCTCTGTCCTTGCAATAATGCAGAGATCTAATTGAGCTAACATGAGCCGCCTATGGATGGCTAAACTAAAAGAGCACCCTGTAACACATGCCCACTGGGGCTTCAGCTGTAAACATTCACCCCTAGACACTGCCATGGGGTTGGAGTCCCACAGCCTGCCCATCTGTATGCTCCCCTAGAGGTTTGAGCAGCAGGCACTGAAGAAGCGAGCCACACCCCCATCACACACCCTGCGAGGGGGACAAGGGAACATTTACCATTTTGGAAGGACATTTGAGAAGACTGCATCCAATGTACTCATTTTATAGAGGGTACAAATCAAGTCCAGTGAGGTTGAATGTTTGCCAAAGTCTCAGAGAAAAACTGTAAGCAAAACCAGTCTTCAGTAGCACCCTGCCCATGGGCCGCCCAGCTGAGGGGCTAGTAGCCACTGAGATCCAACTTATGCCAGCCCTTGGGGGCCAGCTGCAGGGATGACTCTTCCTGGGGGAAAGTGTCTCATATTCTAGTTGTCACAAAGGCATATATCACAGGGACAAAGTTATTTCTTTGGAACAGACTCATGTGAGGGCCACTCATAACCTGGTTCCAAAGAAATAACTTTATCCCAGTGATAAGTTATATTATTAATTTTATTTATTTTGTGTTATTTTGGTTTAAAAATGGCTTATCATTAAATAGTTATTATTAAAGTATTATTGCATTAAATTATTAAATCAGTGGCAACCAGTAAAATAGACTCTATTGAACTCATTGTCTTTTCTTCATTTCTTCACTCATTTATTTGACACATGAGTATATACATTGCCCCAGGTGTTGGACATCCCTTGAGATACTAAAACAAGTGGCTATCAACTTAAATACCAACGACTGAAAAACGCAAGTCTGCAACACAAAACCATTTAGCAACATCTATAGGGGTATAGGAGGAGTTTAAGTTGGCAGGGCTTTCAGGAAACCTCTGTTTATATCAGTTTGGGGGTTACTTTTTAGGTTAAGAGTTTAATAATGATGAAGGGAAATGTTTGAAAAACCACTAATTGCAGGAAAAAGAACTAACTAGGGAGTCAGAACCAGGATGTAGGTAATACATGCCTTTGTGACAACTAGAATATGAGACACTTCCCCCCAGGAAGAGTCATCCCTACTGCTGGCCCCTAAGGGCTGGCATAAGTTGGATCTCAGTGCCTACTAACCCCTCAGCTGGGTAGCCCGTGGGTGGGGTGCTACTGAAGACTGGTTTTGCTTACAGTTTTTCTCTGAGACTTTGGCAAGCCATTCATCCTCACTGGACCTCATTTGAGTTATCCATAAAATGAAGATGTTGGATGCAGCATTCTCAAATGTCCTTCTGAAACAGGAAAGACTGCTTAACACTGCCATCTTATTGCAGCATCCTCCCCAAGGTCCAATTCAGAGAATTGATGTTTTTCCACACTTAAGGGTTTACTCTGTTGCCTGAATTCTTCCATTCCCCTGGGTTATTTGGGGACTTTTATGACCCTCACTAGATAGTAAACTTCAGAGAGACCACCATACCTATTATCTTCCCTTTTCCTTCCCTAGGCGTCATAGGCCAGTACTTGGCACAACATTTTACACATAGTCAATAGCTCAATAAATGTAAATGTCAATTAAAACAATTAAAACACTTGTTTTTGCTTCCCATTAGGCTGATCTTTTGTCATCTGATAACAATTTCTTCACTACATTGTAAGCCTCAGAGAAGACATATATTTGCTGTCGAAATTTCTTGACCTCTAAGAAATCTATGTCTATTTAATTTAAAACGTGACTGTCTGTGATGGTAAAAGGAGAGACACATTTCTTTACCATAAGCATTGAAAAATCTATCTACCATCCTAAGCTTTACAAATTTCAAACTATACCAGTATTCTGATTTTATTTTCTTTCCACTGCAAGAGTGCCTACACAGTATCTCTGGCTCGTGTTTATCTGCAGGTGCCTGAGAATGAATGCAAGCTGATTTATCGCTGTGGGCTATCGTGATGCAAACAATGACATACTTTGTTTATTGGATTCTTTTCAATCAATTTTACAGCTGCTTTCCATCAAGTGTGAGTTCTGTGGCTTCTTTATGTAAGTTGTGCTCCCAACAGGAATGTCCTTGAGTAGATGTAAATTCCTCATTTGATGAAATTGACTAATGTTTGTATAGAGCCTTACCGTATACAAACACTGTTCATATATATTAATTCATTTAAATCTGATGACAATTCAAAGCAATAGCATCATTATTCCCATTTTGCATATGAGATAAGTCTTTTTTTTTAAATATAGTGACTTCCCCAAGATTACACAGTGACAGCAGTGTTTCAAATCCAGTATTCTCTGTCTCTTTCTCCTTTAACATAATCATCCTACCAGTTCAGATATATATATGGAAACCTCTCTTGAGGTGCCTTACTTTTTATGGAATTTGAATGGAAAAAGAGATGAAATGAAAACTGCTTGAAATCTCCCCTAAGTCAGCATTCTTTTTAATAACAGCAGTGAAGTAAGCCACTGAAATATCATCCAAAAATTAGTAGAATAAAATGCTTCTCAAAGAGCATTAGGAATTAAAATGAGCGGCATCTTGGCAGGTCTGCGCCTCTGTGTCCTCTATATTCTCTTTTGACTCAGTATCCATTTTGCCCCAAAACCTCAACACAATAATTAGAACAGAAAGGATGCCTGGATGAGCTAGAAGTTAAAATATCACATAACAATCTCAATAACTAACTCATTTGAGAGTAGTGATGTCAACACTACAAATGTATTACAAGGAGAACAGTCATTCTAATGCAATAAGATGGCAGTGTTAAGTAGTCTTTTAATAATACACACACGAAAACATGGAGCTACATAATGACCTTCTCTGATACAGTCATGTCAGTAAGGAACTAAAAGAAATTTTTTTTAAAAAAAACTTCCCCTAGAAGCTGCTTAGAGGATGAAAATACATGTGGAGTGTCTCAGCAATTATTTAAAATAGAACTTGTGCCATTAGTTGCATATGAGAACTTTGTAAATAACGAGGAGATGGAAAGTCATTATCATAAAACTATAAACTGTAAGGCAGTTTCACAATATTTCATCTCAAGTTACTGTGAAAGTGAAAACATAATAGCTTCACAGATTAAGCATTTTAACTGCAATTGCCTTTTTTTCTCACTTCCTGATTTATATAGGAAGTTCTGAAGCACCTTACTGATTATCAGCAATGAAACAAAACTGTAAAACTGAGAAGATCTATCTCAATCCTTCCAAATGAAAGATGAGTTTTCTACCATTTGGGTGAGTGAATAGCTTAACAGGTCTATTAAAATTCACTCTATCCTCCCTTCTAATCTGTTTCTGGCACTGGAACAAAGAAAATCATGTCACACCTACTGTCACACCCAGCCTCCTAAAGAGAGCCTGGCTTCCCCCTGGGGGAGCCCTGCACAGTCTGGCCTGCCCCTCTCCAGCCTTCCACAGCACCTCCTCCACGTCACCTGCCATTGTCACCACTATGCCCCAGGGGCTAGTACAGTGACATGCACACAGTTGGGGCTCAATATGTATTTGTTTAATGAAGGAATCATTTTCACCATTTGACAAATGTAACAAAATATTGTCTCACGGTTTTGAAATTTCCTTATTTTCAAAGCGGTTTTATGTAAGGAGAGAATGAATTAGTAATTCAGTTTATCCCTTATTCTTGGTATGAATTTCTATATTATAGTCCAGAGCAAGTTTTGAAAGTTATACTTTAATACCATAGTTATTTTCCAGCACACACAAACAGATACACAAGCATACAACATAAAACAGATATTAGTAGACATTTGTCGTGCTTCTCTTTAGAATGGGTGGGAAGGATCTAGTAGCAAAGGGCAAAAGTTAGTGGGTGGGCTCGTACAGGACCCTCACATACCCTGAAGGAGGGGATTTAGCACATTTGCCTGTATTTGCAGAGGTGTCTAGGAGATCAGTTCTAACACCTGGTAATGAGGAGTATTCTGAACAATGAAGCGATGGATAATCTTGACTTATGGGTGTCTTGTGAATACAGGAACTGGAAATTACCCAATGTCTAGGCTCTATCTTGGATTCTAGATGGGCTTGTACTTGGTGGGGTCAAGATAATCATAGTATGGAACTATGCCTAGAAATAAGACCAAATCTTAGGACATAAAGACAAAAATCTTAGGGGAAAGCATATTTTAACTTAAGGAAGTCTTGCTATGCTTTTATTACAAAGTAAAAGGCAGTCTGCTGTTGAGAAACCTTTGTGTTTAAATTGTGTAGAAGTTTCCCCAGTAACATTGAGTCTCCCCAGTAACATTGGCTGTGTCCCCACCCAAATCTCAATTTGAATTGTATCTCTCAGAATTCCTACGTGTTGTGGGAGGTACCCAGGGGGAGCTAATTGAATCATGGGGGCCACCGGTCTTTTCTATGCTATTCTCGTAACAGTGAATAAGTGTCACGAAATCTGATGGGCTTGTCAGGGTTTTCTCCTTTTGCTTCCTCCTCATTTTTCTCTTGCCACCACCACATAAGAACTGCCCTTTGCCTCTCACCATGATTCTGAGGCCTCCCCAGCCATGTGGAACTGTTAAGTCCAATTAAACCTCTTTTTTCCCCCCCCCGGTTTCGGGTATGTCTTTATCAGCAGCATGAAAACGGACTCATACAGTTAATTGGTACAAGTAGAGTGGGGCGTCGCTGAAAAGATAACCGAAAATGTGAACTTGACTTTGGAACTGGGTAACAGACAAAGGTTGGAACCGTTTGGAGGGATCAAAAGAAGAAAGGAAAACGTGGGAAAGTTTGGAACCTCCTAAAGACATGTTGAATGGCTTTGACAAAAATGCGGACAGTGATATGAGCAATAAGGTCCAGGCTGAGGTGGTCTCAGATGGAGATGAGGAACTTGTTGAAAAATGGAGCAAAGGTGACTCTTGTTATTTATTTACTTATTTTTTATACTTTAAGTTCTAGGGTACATGTGCACTATGTGCAGGTTTGTTACATAGGTATACATGTGCCACGTTGGTGTGCTGCACCCACTAACTCGTCATTTACATTAGATATATCTCCTAATGCTATCCCTCCCCACTTCCCCCACCCCATGACAGGCCCTGGTGTGTGATATTCCCCACCCTGTGTCCAATTGTTCTCACTGTTCAAGTCCCACCTATGGGTGAGAACATGCGGTATTTGGTTTTCTGTCCTTAAGACAGTTTGCTCAGAATGATGGTTTCCAGCTTCACCCATGTCCCTACAAAGGACATGAACTCATCCTTTTTTATGGCTGCATAGTATTCCCTGGTGTATATGTACCAAATTTTCTTAATCCAGTCTATCACTGATGGACATTTGGGTTGGTTCCAAGTCTTTGCTATTGTGAATAGTACTGCAATAAATATATGTGTGCATGTGTCTTTATAGCAGCACGATTTATAATCCTTTGGGTATATACCCAGTAATGGGATGGCTGGGTCAAAAGGTATTTCTAGTTCTAGATCTTGAGGAATCGCCACACTGTCTTCCACAATGGTTGAACTAGTTTGCAGTTCCACCAACAGTGTAAAAGTGTTCCTATTTCTCCACATCCTCTCCAGCACGTGTTGTTTCCTGACTTTTTAATGATCGCCATTCTAACTGGTGTGAGATGGTATCTCATTGTGGTTTTGATTTGCATTTCTCTGATGGCTAGTGATGATGAGCATTTTTTCAGGTGTCTGTTGACTGCATAAATGTCTTCTTTTGAGAAGTGTGTGCTCATATCCTTCGCCCACTTTTTGATGGGGTTGTTTGATTTCTTCTTGTAAATTTGTTTGAGTTCTTTGTAGATTCTGGATATTAGCCCTTTGTCAGACAGGTAGGAAGTCAAATTGTCCCTGTTTGCAGATGACATTATTGTATATTTAGAAAACCCCATTGTCTCAGCCCAAAATCTCCTTAAGCTGATAAGCAACTTCAGCAAAGTGTCAGGACACAAAATCAATGTGCAAAAATCGGAAACATTCCTATACACCAGTAACAGAGAGCCAAATCATGAATCATGAGTGAATTCCCATTCACAATTTATTCAAAGGGAATAAAATACCTAGGAATCCAACTTACAAGGGATGTGAAGGACCTCTTCAAGAACCACAAACCACTGCTCAACGAAATAAAAGAGGACATAAACAAATGGAAGAACATTCCATGCTCATGAATAGGAAGAATCAATATTGTGAAAATGGCCATAATGGTAATTTAGAGATTCAATGCCATTCCCCATCAAGCTACCAATGACTTTCTTCACAGAACTGTTAAAAACTACTTTAAGGTTCATATGGAATCAAAAAGATCCCACATTGCCAAGACAATCCTAAGCCAAAAGAACAAAGCTGGAGGCATCATGCTACCTGACTTCAAACTACACTACAAGGCTTCAGTAACCAAAACAGCATGGTATTGGTACCAAAACAGAGATATAGACCAATGGAACAGAACAGAGCCCTCAGAAATAATACCACACATCTACAACCATCTGATCTTTGACAAACCTGATGAAGGCAAGAAATGGGGAAAGGATTCCCTATTTAATAAATGGTGCTGGAAAAACTGGCTAGCCATATGTAGAAAGCTGGATCCCTTCCTTACACCTTATACAAAGATTAATTCAAGATGGATTAAAGACTTAAATGTTATTCCTAAAACCATAAAAACCCTAGAAGAAAACCTAGGCAATACCTTTCAGGACATAGGCATGGGCAAGGACTTCATGACTAAAACACCAAAAGCAATGGCAACAAAAGCCAAAGTTGACAGATGGAATCTAATTAAACTAAAGAGCTTCTGCACAGCAAAAGAAACTACCATCAGAGTGAACAGGCAACCTACAGAATGGGAGAACATTTTTACAGACTCTTACTATGTTTCAGCAAGAGACTGGCAGCATTTTGCTGCTGCCCTAGAGATTTGTGGAACTTTCAACTTGAGAGAGTTGATTTAGGGTATCTGGTGGAAGAAATTTCTAAGCAGCAAAGCATTCAAAAAGTGACTTGGGTGCTTTTAAAATCATTCTGTTTTAAAAGGGAAACAGGACATAAATGTTCGAAAATTTGCATCCTGACGAGGTAGTAGAAAAGAAAAACCCATTTTCTGGAGAGAAATTCAAGCCGGCTGCAGAAATTTGCATAAGTAGCAAGGGGCCTAATGTGAATCCCCAAGACCATAGGGAAAATGTCTCCAGGCCATTTCAGAGACATTCATAGAAGCCCCTCCCATCACAGGACCAGAGGCCCAGGAGGAATAAGTGGTTTCATGGACCAGGACTGGGGTCCCCATGCTGTGTGCAGCCTAGAGACTTGGTGCCCTGTGTCCTAGCTGCTCCAGCCACAGCTGAAAGGGGCCAACATACAGCTCTGGTTGTGGCTTCAGAGGGTGGAAGCCCCAAGCCTTGGCAGCTTCCATGTGGTGTTGAGCCTGCAGGTGCACAGAAGTCAAGAATTGAGGTTTGGGAATTTCCGCCTAGATTTCAGATGTATGGAAACGCCTGGATGCCCAGGCAAAAGTTTGCTACAGGGGTAAGGCCCTCATGAAGAACCTCTGCTAGGGCACTGCTGAAGGGAAATGTGGGGTTGGAGCTCCCACACAGAGTCCCTACTGGGGCACTGCCTGGTGGAGCTGTGAGAAGAGGGCCACCATCCTCCAGACTCCAGAATGGTAGATCCACCGACGGCTTGCACTATGAGCCTGGAAAAGCCACAGACACTCAATGCCAGCCTGTGAAAGCAGCCAGGAGGGAGGCTGTGCCCTGCAAAGCCACAGGGGCAGAGCTGCCCAAGACCATGGGAACCCACCTCTTGCATCGGCATGACCTGGATGTGAGACCTGGAATCAAAGGAGATCATTTTGGAGCTTTAAAATTAGACTGCCCTGCTGGATTTTGGACTTGCATGGGGCCTATAATCACTTTGTTTTGGTCAATTTCTCCCATTTGGAATGGCTGAATTTACTCAATACCTGTATCCTCATTGTATTTAGGAAGTAACTAGCTTGCTTTAGATTTTACGGGCTCACAGGCGGAAGGGACTTGCCTTGTCTCAGATGAGACTTTCGACTGTGGACTTTTGAGTTAATGCTGAAATGAGTTAAAACTTTGCGGGACTATTGGGAAGGCATGATTGGTTTTGAAATGTGAGGACATGAGATTTGGAGGGGCCAGGGGCGGAATGATATGATTTGGCTGTGTCCCCACCCAAATCTCAACTTGAGGTGTATCTCCCAGAATTCCCAAGAATTGTGGGAGGTACCTAGGGAGAGGTAATTGAATCATGGGGGCCAGTCTTTCCCATGCTATCCTGGTGATAGTGAATAAGTCTCACGAGGCCTGATGGGTTTATCAGGGGTTTCCACTTTTGCTTCCTCCTCATTTTTCTCTTGCTGCTGCCATGTAAGAAGTGTCTTTCACCTCCATGATTCTGAGGCCTCTCCAGCCATGTGGAACTGTGAGTCCAATTAAACCTCTTTTTCTTACCAGTTTTGAGTATGTCTTTATCAGCAGCATGAAAACAGACTAATACACCCAGAAAGCTCTCTGGGACTGATCATGTGTTCTAACTTATAAGGAAAGGGAGTTTCAAGGCATCTGGAGTGTATTCTAAGCAGGCCTTTCCATATAAAGCACAGGAAGAGCCCGATATTCAGCCGTGGGGCTCAGGATGGTCAATCCATCTGGCTGCCCTGACCACAGCACAGAAAATCAGAGTCATAAACTTTTAGGAATTGGGGAAACTTCAGACAGAGAGTATTAAATCTGGGCTCAGCCTTGGTGGGTGAATCATTCTCTGTACTATCTTTACTCAAGGGGTTAATTGGTCTATATTTAAATCTGTTCTCTCCTGTAACAGGTGCAATGACTGTTTGTGAGACAGAACTGATGGAATTGAGATTTTACTAAATTACCTATTTGGAGCTAGTTCTTTGTTCACTTGCCTTTGTTCTTGGCATGGTGGTCATAATAGCCAGAGGATTTTTTATGCGAATCTAATCAGAGACATAGGCATATTTTCTGTGTTTTTCTTTTTTAAAAAAATAAATAACATTGAAGTTCTGTAATGTAGTAAAACAATGTTGTCTACCTAGATGTTAAGGTAAACCTCTGATCTATATATCACGAGTGACTCAATCTGGTTAAAAGCTGCAGAGAAAATCAGAGGGATTTGGGTATATGCCTAGTTTTATACAAAGGTTAACACACAAGCCTTGCAGTGTAACAGACCCAGGTTTGAATTCTGGCTTCACCACTTACTACCTTCTACCAGTGGCCTCCATCAAGTTACTTAACCTACCTGAGACATGGTATTTTCATTTAAAAATGCTTAGCATGAAATGAACTTAGTATTAAAATAACAGTAATTACTATTGTTATTTTTTAAAATTTTTAAATTTTTTATTTTTTGGTGAGACAGAGATTTATTCTTGTTGCAAAGGTTGGAGTGCAATGGCGCGATCTCAGCTCACCTCATCATCTGCCTCCCAGGTTCAAGAGATTCTCCTGCCTCAGCCTCCCCAGTAGCTGGGATTACAGGCAAGTGTCACCACACTCAGCTAATTTTGTATTTTTAGTAGAGACGGGGTTTCACAGTATTGCCCAGGCTGATCTCCAACTCCTGACCTCAGGTGATCCGCTTGCCTCGGCCTCCCAAAGTGCTGGGATTACAGGCATGAGCCACTGCGCCTGGCCTGTTATTATTAAAAATGCATGCATTCTGCCAGCCCCAAGGACAGAAAGGAATACTTTTTCTTCTGTAAAGTTTTACACATTACAATATTCCCTGGGAATATGATGCATTCTCTAAAGGAGAGAGAAATCC